CATTTTCTTCAAGCAGAACAAAAGGAAGAAGCCAAGTCCAGATGCTGAAGCCAGAACGCCAGGCCTGTTGCTTCCTTTGACAGTGGACAGAGCAAGCCCATCCTGCCGTATGTGAGGCTGACCTGACACAGTGTGCTGCAAAGAGCTTTCATTGAGAGGGCTTTTTATTTGATTTTATTTTTTTAAAGGGCTGCTTTAGAGAATAAATCTAAATACATAAGGTCATCGGCCTCCCCTCCCACCGCTGCTGGAGACATGGTGGGAGTCATTAGGGCTGGCCCCGCTCTGCTTGGAGGCATGTTATTCATTATCTGCATTTTTAAAAGCAGCAATAAAAAGCGGAAAAATGAAAAACACCGGCCACGGCCTAATGAAACTGTCATTCAAATGAGCCGGTCGCGCTTCCTGCCGGGTGGTGTGATCTGAAGGGGACCTGGATTAGGGGCCTGCTCAGAGCAGCTCTTCAAACGCACCGCATTCAATTTCAAAGCCTGCGGCCTGGGGAGTGGGTTTGCGTTCCCCTTGCTGGAAACTTTATTCCCCTTGAAATGATGAAATATTTCAGAGGAAATGGAGATGGGAGGGGGGTAGGACTAGGGAGGGAGGACACGGGGGGGAAGGGGGGAAGCAGGGAAGGCTGTTTGCTGAGACCCGGCTGTAAAACAAAAAAGGGCAGTTATAAATATCCAAGCAGGTACCTTAGCCTCCTGCCTGGCTATAAATCTGTCGGCCGAGCATCCCCGCGGGGAAGGCGTGATCGGCTGCCTGCTAATAACCGACGGCAGCACAATTCTGCACTGTTTCCAATGGAGGCAGGCGCAAGGGTGGGACTCGGGCGCGTTCACATGCTGTCAACTGGAGCAGGACAAAGCTCGCCTTCCAAGGGCGCTCAACAGCAATGCCAGATGTAAGGGAGGGCAGGATACGGCTCCCTCCGAACGTGAGACAGACAAAGTCTTCACCGATAACACGGAGGTCCTATGAGGAAGCTGGTCCAGTCTGAAGAGGCGCCACGGCTGTAATGCCCACTTCTGAGGCAGGAAGGCAGAGGATGGGAGATGTAGGAAACAGAGCTAGGGCACAAGTCCCGAGGGAGGCACCAGCTGCCTGGCTGGATTTGGATACCATTAGATTTCTTCGTCACCCCATGTCACTTCAGGTGTGGCACTGGGCGAGCAGAAAGGTAAAATGGGCACAGGGAATCAAACAGGGAAAGGCTTCCCGAGGGGCTAGAGTTTATGGAGCAAACGTGGGAGTAGATTATTTGATTTTCAAGACTGACTAGTGGTTTCAGGGTCCTCTACATTTCGAGCCCTGTGCTGAGACGCCAAAGGTTTGAGCTCTCAGACCCGCCGAAAACTAGGCTCTGTAGGTTGTCCCCAGCTGGGTGCCCCAGATCACTAGCCACTTGCAAAACTTGGTCCTTTACCACCTGTTATGCAGTCGAGGTCCTCAACTGAGGACCTCAAAACACCATTTGACATAAGGGAAATGAGCTCTGGGGAACCTGGAAGACAATACGTTTTGGCCCCGTTTTACTGCTGGCTGAGCAGAAGAACCTGGCGTAGGCTTGATCGTCCTGATTCCTGAGTGAGCGGAGCATCGCTCTCGGTAGAGAGCAGGCGTCGTGGGCACCCGAGTCCTCAGTTCTCGGCACTGCAGTGCCTGGTTAGAGAAGCGGTGTAAGGCCAACAAGAAGGAGCAGAGCCCTGCCTGACCTGAACACTGCTCCTTCCAGAGTGAAATGCCAGGAAAATATTGGGGAATATATTGAAAAATGGAACACATTTCAATAAGCCATTACAGTTCCTAAGGACCAGGGTCAGATTCACAAAGAGTATTTAAGCAGATCTCATGGCGAACTGCTATAAAAGCCTTTGGGAGTTAGGCATCTAACTTGTTTAGGTCCTTTTATAAATCTCTACATCTTGCCTAAATCTCTGTAAATTTGGCTTCAAGTCCTATGCTCAGTGACATCCACCTTCCTGACTTTGGTGGGAGAAAGATAAAGTCCTGTGGGACTTTGTAACCAAATTTACTGTGCTACTGGCTATTATTTTTTTGGCAGGAAACTGAGGAGTTGCTCTGAGAGTTGAGAAAAGCAACTGCAGTACCCATCTTTAGAGAAAAGTAAGGAGTGGAACTGGTCATTACTGCCCCATTGGTCTAAATTTTATTCCTAGAAAAGTTAGTAAGGGGAAAAACATTAAACTTTGAGAAAGAAATGGATATTGGAGCAATAAGCAGCAAAGGTTTGTATAGTCTAGGTCTGGCTAGGCAATTATTATTTTTATGGATAGAGTAATGCAACTCATAGGTTACTGGAATGTGGAGATATCATCTGTTTGGACCGTACTGGGACAGCGTCTCCTGAAATGATCCGTCAGTGAGGACACGGACTCTGTTGTGTGAAATTAAAAAGGACCATGAACAAAGTGTAATAAAGAGGATGAGGAGCTCTCCAGGAATCACTGTTATTCATAACTGCAGTACCACCTTGAAACCCCAACCACGCACCCACTCAGCCAAACGAGTAAGCTGTCTCTGCCCCAAAGAGCTCAAGTCCAACCCTTCTTTAATATCTTCATGAGATTAAGCATTATATTTTTTATACACCAATAGCTCGGTGAAGACGGGAGGAGCTGAAAACACAAGGAAGGAATGAGAAAGACAAAGGGAACCAGAGGGACTGGAAACATGAGAAAAACAATGCAAGACCAGTGAGATTTACCTTGGAGGAATGTAAGAGAATCTCTCTGGGGCAATAATGTCAAGCACTGATCTCTAATGGGTCTGAAAAGCAGCAGGGTTGAATAAGATCTACAGGTGAAAGTGAGCAGTAACTCAGCCAGGCATTCATGGTACAATATGGCAACAGCAACAGCCAAAATGCTTGAGGTTGCACAGGAAAAGGCACCAAATCCTACAGCAGGAAGGCATTAGCCCTTCTGGACAGAGCTCCCACTGGAGGCAATGGGAGTTCTGCCATTGACTTCTACAGTCAGGATCTGCATGGCTCTGGTGCCTGAGGAAGGGGCATAGTACACTCAGTTCCAAAAACTCATGTCCCAGAAAGAGAAATGCCGAACTGCAGGGAGTTCAGAGAAGAACACAGCATTTTCAATACCACACATCCACCTGGGTTAGGGAGCTTGATTAGATGGAGATGTTAACAGAAATACAAACCAGCTCTCTGAAGTCTAAGGGGGAACAGGCTATCAAGGCCACTAATACGAGTAAACACCAAGAAGGGAATGGGATTCATTAGAGAGGTGAAAGGAGGTAGAATTAGGTATAGCATGATGCCATTAAAAGGCAGAGAAACTTGGGCTGAATACCAGGAAAATCTTGGCAGCAAGATACCTGGGGCAGGGAATGGTCTCCCTGGGGATAAAGCAGGAGTTCCACTAGCAGGGCATTCACACATGGACTCAGATCACTTGTGCATGACAGGCAACAAGCCCATGGTCTGGGCACAGGGACTGGAAGGGCTTTGCCACCATTTGTGTGGGAGGCTGAGGCTGTCACTCGGTAAGCAGAACATTCCCTGGGCGTGCACCATGGGGACTTCAACCCCTCCATTGCTTTTAATTCCCTTTTTATTTTGCAGTAAGAGCTAAAATGTTTACAGCAATTTGTGGCCTTAATCACTTCCCCAACGTAACATTTTTTAAATCAAATCAGCTGCAAGGCTGCGCAAGCATATGAAACCAGTAAAACTTCTATCTCTGTTTGATGTTTTATAATTTGAAAACACACACAGCAAAGACATGATTTAGAGGAGAAGAGGGCTGTATTTTCTTTTTCATTTCTGCAAGACAATTGTTTTTGGGCTGAGGCCTCACGGTGCCTAGATCCAGCTTGGAACAGACCGTTATGTCCAAATCTTACCCCCCACTATCCCTCTCCAGAGTTCAGGGGTAATAAACACAAGGGAAGATAAGAGCTAGCCTAGAGCAAAGCATCAGATGTTACGCAAAGCATTGAAACTCTGTCCAGCGAACTCTCCCCAGTGTGGAAGAAGGCACTTGCTTCAATGGAAGCTCGTAAGTGTGGGTACAAGAGTGTGAGTAGAGGGTGTGCAAGTACAACAAGCAAGCATGTGTACAACAGCCTGGAAGCAGAGGACCCCTCACAGCTGTCTACAATTATGCTTTAAATAATGCATACATTTGTGCTATCCCATCATGTAATCAACCTAGATTTAGCTTCCTTCATAACCATGTACAAAAGACTAGATTTGCTGTATTACCCCAAGCAGCCTCAGCTCCAGCACCCACTTTCTACTGATTCTTTTTTTTTTTGTTGAAGGTGGCTTTCAATTAGCTTCCAGCAATTACAGGGCTTATGACATATAGCTGAGCACTTCTGAATCCGTCCAGTACAGGACAGTAATCACTCACGCACGCGTAGCCTATTATAATCTATAAACCCCTCTGTTACTCTTTAGTTTGGATTTCCCGTGGGGGGAAACTCCACCCCGTCCCAGAAGCCTGAGAAGCTAGTACTTTCAGGGTATGTCTGTGGTGCACTGGCAGCATCTGCTAGGTAGGCTGGCCCCGAGTACACCCCAGCCACCCACTTCCACTCACACACTCCACACGTGTGGTCATCTCCAGTGGATTCTCTCAAGCATGCTAGAAAATGAGGTCTTGAGAGCAGCCGCTGAAAGTGATCTGCAGCAGCTACCGTGGCATACCTCTGGGCACATCTCATGCATGCAGGCGTACCTGGGAACAGCTCACCCGAGGCTCCCTGCCCTCAGTCTGCCCCTGAGCCACCTGTTAGGCTTATTCTCTGCCTTCTCTGTAAAGCTGTTCACAGCAGCACTGATCCTTACTACATGACTGGAACCACAGCCTCTGAGGGCTACAGCTGGGGGAGGAGGAGCGTTCAGTGTGCGTCAGGCACAGCAGTCTCACAAGCAGACAGCCCTACTACAGGAGCACCAAGACCAAGCCCCAGCAAGTGCCCCAGGGGTTGGGTTGGCTCTCACCTACCTATGCACGTTTTCCCATCAGAAAATAGCACAAACTTCACATGGCAGCCACACTTGGGCCCTTGGTCCGTGTCATCACAGGTGTGCTGGCAACCTCCATTCCCATAGTTGCAGGTCACTGTAGGAGGCAAAGAACATGTCATCAAGCACTGATCTGGGGCTGCTGACAGGAAGCAGCTCTGAGCGTCATTGTTGTGCCTATGAGGACCAAACACATGTTGAGACTGTCCCTCCCAAGGATCTGGCACCCCACCTCATTGCACTGGGCCAAACAGTCCCCTCACTCTACCATCAGATCTCCTGCCACACTAAATCAGGCTAACCAGCCCATCTAGGCAGTCCTCTTACTTCCCTCCTGACTCAAACAGGCAACTTGGTCCATATCATCTATCATCCCATTCTGATGTTCAGTCCATCAGGAATGCATGGAGGGATGTGATTTCTGTCTCTGAGGCCCATTCAGTCCATGGCACAGTTCCATCTGTGGTCATTTCCATCCTGTAGTCTACTAGGAACCAGGCTCATCCCCCATAACTCCTTCCACATTGGCCTATTCACCATCCCAGGATACGGACATTCAGTTAATAGTCACCTGAACGGTGCTTGAATGGTTTAGCGATGAAAGGATGAGTGGGGGTGAGAGAGCCAGCCTGGGTGAGATGGGGAAATGCACCATGCCAGGTTTTACAGGCTACATACCCTGATGCCACCAACTGAAAGTTTAAATCTAGCCCAGATTTTCAAAAGTGACTAGTGATTTCTGGGTGCTTTCTGAAGGTCAGAAGGGGTTGTCACTTGCCTTCTCAAATGCGGGGTTCTTGACTGCATCAAGTTGGGCCCTGAAAAGTGCTGGTCACTTTTAAAAATCTTGGCCCAGAGACTGAAGGTAATTGCCACTTAATGGCTACTTGGCAAAAAACCCCACCTCAGCCTCCAAAGTACAAACAGGAAGCTGGCCTACTGGCAGGCTTCCTGCCAAGAGGCCGGTGGTCCCAAGTTCAAATCCCAAGGAAATGCAGGCAGCAGACGTGATAATAGCTATGGGCCTGAAGCAGGCAAAATTCTCTCTGCCCAGTGCTATGCAAAAGGTCAAAACAGACCAAGGGGATCAAGACTCATTGGGCCCCATGGACCTGATCCAGACCACGGAGCTTCCAGATGTGCGAGCAGAGGCAATGGCATTAATACCTGTGGCTGCCGGAGCAGCTGTTTCGATGCGGCTCTGGAACCCAGGGAGTCAATGCCTCTACTGCTTACCTTCCCCCTTTTCCCTTACCCTGTGACTAAAATCTGCATCAAGGGCAGGTAAAGGGTGGGGGGGATGTGAGCGGCATTAATGAGAGCCATGGGACTCTACAGCCTGGAAAAGCATAAGCTCTGGGGTGACTTGGTGGCAGCCTATAAGTACATAAGGGGTGTGCATCAAGAACTGGAAGAAAGTCTGTTCACTAGGGCACCCCAAGGGAAGACAAGGTCCAACAGTCACAAGCTCCTGGAAGACCATTTTAGGCTGGACATAAGCAAAAACTTCTTTACCGTCCAAGTCCCCAGGGATTGGTATAAACTCCCCCCAGAGGTGGTGCAAGCACCTACTCTGGACACTTTCAAGGAACACTTGGATGCCTCTCTTGCTGGGGTCCTTTGACCCCAGCTGACTTCTTGCCCCTTGGGCAGGGGGCTGGGCCCGATGATCTTGCGAGGTCTCTTCCAGCCCTAATGTCCATGAAATCTATGAAATTCTCTGGGTTCCAGACCCACACCAAAACAGTGGCTCCGGCAGTCACAGGGATTAACACTGCTGCTGCAGGGGCTCCAGCTGCTGCCGTGATGAGCCCTGTGGGCCAAATCCAGCCTGTGAGACATCCTCATGGGCTGAATCTGGCCCAGCGGCTGTATGTTTGACATTCTGGACTTGGCAATTACAATGGTTCCAGAATCCCGAAGGACAGGAACTGAAAGGACAGTCTCAATACACAGCACTACAGGGCTGAGATCAAGGGTTGCCAGCTAGACCTTCGCCTGTTAAATCTTAAACTTACAGGATTTAAATACCAGTGCATGCAGGAACTTTTAGGCTGAGATAATCAATGCAACCAGAGGTGCTGAGTATGTGGGGGTCTGAGGGCCCTGCCCCCCCTGGGAAGAGGGCTGTCACCTGAAATGCATAAAACTTTCCACAAGTCCGTCATCTTGCCCCCACCCCTCATTGCCTTCCCCCTGCAAAAATAAAAGTTGGCAACCTAGTAGATTTGAGGAATTCTTGCTGGACATTTCTAAATGAGTCTGACGTTCCCTGAAGAAGCTCAGCAGAGGAAAGCTGCTGTGTGGGTGCTTGCATCTTCCCCCGAGACGTCTAGTACCTGTCACCATCAGAGACAGAGCTAGATGGACTGTGGGTTCTGACCCAGCATAGCTGAGCTTGGCCACTAACAAAACGCTTTGTCAAGGGCCTGCCTGGGATTTCCAGAACCTCCTAAATCAATGACGTGCTTCTGAAAATCCTTCCCACCGTTCTGAAGGAGGTAAGTTGTTCTTTACATTTAGCCCGGAGTGAAAATTTGCTGGCCGGATTAAAACTCTAATCCATCAGCATTTTTACGTGCTTGCTGTGAAGATCAAATAAAGAGAATAAAACAAATAAAACTAAATAAATAAAAGATTAAAAAAAAAAATTGCCTTGGCATCGCCAGCAAGCTCTTGGCGGGAGATCAGACATCTGACAGCCTCGCTTCCCTGGGGAGATGCTTTTGGTGTTTTTCTGGTGCCAATCACACTCCAGGTGCCAGGGCAAGAGACACGCCACTTTCCAAACAGAGTGGCCTAGACAGTCAGCACAGCCCTGGGGTAAGCCCGTGAAGATGTCTGACCTGACAGCCACGCAGAGCTATACTGGAGAAGACTGGCCTGGCACTGTTGCAAAAGAGCAAGCTCTGCTGCTCATCTGAAAAGTTCTGGTTGCTGGAAGTGGGAAGAGGAGGCAGGGTGGCTTAGCAAAGGTCACATGGGAGGTGTTAGGTCTTTGGGACCCTGTTTTATATTGCCTGTGCCCTGCAAAGGTTGCCCCACTCTGCGCAGCCCTGGCCACGAAGGCACATGTGAACTGCTGGACAGCTGGTCATGCAGGTGAGGGGCACGTGCAGCAGAAGCCAACAGAGGAGTTAAGAAGGCTGGTCAGAGATAGCTCTTAAACTCCAGGAAATCCACCCACTTGGAAGCTGGGTGTTGTTAAGCTCTTAGGAGAAGTCAAGATTTTGTTCACAGAGCTGGGAAGTTTTGTCCAGTGCTTTGAGCAGGGGAGGACGGGATTCACGGCCCCTGGCTTTCATCTCTGACATGTGGAAGTCGTCTTAATGGTTAGAGCAAGGGGGTGAGGGAAGGGAATCAGAACTCTTGGGTTCTTTAGCTGGCTCCAAAAGGGATCAAGAGCACGATGCCTGGAGTCAACTCTACTTCCTGGTTTGGGAAAGAAGATGGTCTAGTGCTCAGTGAAAGAAACAGACTGGGGTTCATGAACCTTGTGCTTGATGCAGGGGGTATGGGAGCCAGGGGGCTCAGGTTCAGTCCCTGAGCTAGGAGGTGCACATGGTCTAGAGCAGGGGACAGGAGTCTGGAGAGCCATGTATTATTATAAAAGAAGTGGGTGCCATGAAGCAGGGTCAAGGCCTAAAGCCCCACAAAAAGGAGGGGGATAGGAGGCAGGGCTCCTGTCCACTGGAGCAGACACCAGGTGCTGCTGGGCACCATGTTCTTACATTTGCAGTCCCGCTGATTCTTGGTGAGCTCAAAGCCTGGCCGGCACTCGCAGGCGATGCCCCCCTTGGGGGTCTCCCGGCAGATGTGGGCACAGCCATGGTTCTTGTTCATGCAGTTCATTCCTTCTAAAAGAGAGAAGAAAGCACATAAAAGCTCCGCAGCTCCCTCCGCAGGGTCAGCAAAGGGTCTAGGAGGGCCAGGGCTGGGACCTAGCGATGATGAGCGAGGTGCTCTCCTGCTTGTTGGGGCTAAATACAAGACCGCCGCTAACTTGGCAGGGGCTGGGGGCAGATAAAGTGATCACTGGCAGAGACCACACCAGGCTCCCCCACCCGCCATGGAAACCTGTGCTTTCAGCAAGTGCTGAGGGAGATGCATCGGCAGCCTTGGACTGTGCCATGGAAGATGTCAGCTCAAGGAGCAGTTCTCAGGACAGTGAACCACAGGGCCAACCTTCCCTAGTGCATGCATCCCTCACCCTATGGGTCTTCAAGTCCCTTCAAGCACTTCCTGCTTGCCTGGGAAAGATTCCCTGGGGACACGCGTCACCCACGTTTGTCACGGAAAGGAAACATTTTGCCCTTACTCCTTGGCAGGCTACTTACCATCAACCCTTCCTTGGCACCCATGCCATTGCTATGTCTGTCCCACTCCCTCTTATTCGTGCCATGCCTATCTCCAACCTCCCTACCAGAACCAGGCCAAGGCCTCCTATCTCCTTCTCCATACTGCTCTACAAATCAGGGCCCTTTCCCTTTGCCCTGGGCCCATCCCCTTTGCCCTTACTCCTTGGCAGGCTACTTACCATCAACCCTTCCTTGGCACCCATGCCATTGCTATGTCTGTCCCACTCCCTCTTATTCGTGCCATGCCTATCTCCAACCTCCCTACCAGAACCAGGCCAAGGCCTCCTATCTCCTTCTCCATACTGCTCTACAAATCAGGGCCCTTTCCCTTTGCCCTGTGCCCATCCCACTCTCTCCCCATTCACTAACATCCCGCCATGCCCTGTCTCTCTGACTCCCTGGTCGGCTCAATAGCTTCAGCAGTCACGAAGGGCCCTGCAGGAAGCCCTGCTAACACACTCCAGGCTGTTTCCTTGGGAGGGTGCAGCTCAGAGAAGGGCCCGCCTGGGCTCTCTCTGTGCTGAAAATGTGCCAGAGGCAGCATTAGCTGCAGACACTGCTGTCTGGGACGTCCGCGCTGCAAACTAAACAGGGCGCTGCTGACTCACGCCCCTGGATTGTTTTTGCTTTGCTCTGGTGTGATGGACGCCGAGTCCAGAGATCCTTCTCCAGACCAGGCCTGGCAGCATCCATCACCGCACACTGGCCACTCGCCACAAACAAGAGGCAGAGCCAAGAAGGCCACGTCCCCTGGATATGCAGCACTCGGAGAGCTCAGGGTGGCCAAGACCTACCTGACACATTGCATGGGGTAGCTGCTGCGGCTCATATACGGGAAACAATCTCAGCTTCAGCCCTGCTTAGGCTTTCCCAGGGAGTGAAAAGGGCTGGAGGCACCTGGAGGTCACTGTACTAACCCAGTGAATCGACTCAGAGCCTGACAAGATGCAGCCGGCTCTCAGGCAGCTTGCAGCCACATTTGGGGCCAACTCCTGCCCTGTGGAGGTCGCATACTCCTTGCCCCTTGCATCTGTGCCCCCAGACTTTCCCTCCAGGCCATAGAGCAGCTGCTTTGTGAGCACAGAGCATCCCTGACCCTGGTCAGGGCACTGCCTCCCCACAGGCTGGCTCACACAAAGCCAGCCGCTTTATGTTCAAGCTGGGCAGAGGGCACATCTGGATGCTGGAGGCATCATGTCTGCCGGGGACAGCTGTCCCAATGCTCCCCCCCCAGGGAGCCAGAGCAACAGCCTCACCCAGCACTAGAGGCAGAGAGTGACCCACAAGGACAGGGCTAATCAGTCACCCAGTCCCTCTCTCTCAGGCAGCTCATCTCACCCCAGGACTTAGCCTCCAGGCTAGACTCACCGATTCATAACAGCCCCATGATGGCGTGTTCAGACCCAGCTGTCCCTGTGTGATCAGCTCGCCACTGAACCATCGTACTGGGAAGTGTTAATAGCTCCCAGCAGGTGTGTCCCTGATCTACAGGCAGTCTTCATTCAAGCATCAAGACCTCATTAAAGCTGACACCTGCTAGCTGGGCTTCACTCAGCCTATGTGGCAGAAGTGAGGCCTTTATGCAACACAATGACCGAAACCGTTGCCTAAGGCACCGGATCACACAAGGATGTTGGAGCAGGACTGGACTCTGGGAGGATTAGAGGGGTTTCCCTGGGGACTGCCTGCAAATGTGGGAGCTGAGGCACTGATTCAGCACAGCTGGGTGTGTGGTAGGGATGCTAGAGAGAGAAAGCAGCAAGAATATGGCCCTGAGAGAGAGCTGAGACGGGGCTCTGTGGAGCTCAAGGCTGGCTGGAAAGGCAGGTGGGGAAACTGCGAGCACACAACCTGCTGCTCATTGCTATTATAGTATCCCACCACTGCCACAATTTGGCCTCTTTTGTGGCTGAAGGGCTTGAGTTGTGAGCCGAGAACAGAGAAGCTGGCAGTTCTATGATATTCAGGGAGATGGGATTTGGGACAGTCCCTGGAAATAAACAGGACTGGACCAAATGATATCCCTGACTCTCCTCCTGGAGAGAGCTCAGCATGGCCCTGGGTCCTGCCCAAGTGCCTGTGATACCGGGCAGCAGCACTTTATCCTGCTGCCCAGTTGACAGGAACCATCTCTAGAGGATGCTCCATAGGGCCCTGCCCGTACGCAAGCAGGGAGATGGGAACACGGAGGGGATGATTGTGGTCACAGGCCTCGCTGCACACTCGTAATTGGAATATGGTTTGTGCTCAGCAATGGAGAGCATAGGGAGGGGGGAAGGAGCCAGGGTCCCAGTGGCAGCAGCAATGCCAGCTGCCGTCTCCATTTCAATGTGTGGCCCTGGGGGTTCCTTAGTCGGTGGCATGGTACAGTGGGAAAAGCATGGGGCCCCAGCCCTGGAGGAAGTGCCCATAAGCCACTTTAAGCGTTGATGACCGAGGCAGAATTTACATGCTTTCTGCCCCAGAGGTGGGAGCAGGAGAGAAGGCAGAGGGAGGCAGGTCTGGGGAGCTACTGGACTTGTGGCTGTATCATAGCCATAATCTCCCCTCCCCAGTTTGCTCACCTCCCTCCTGGAAGCTTCAGTCCCAGTTGCCAGATGGGGTGCGGCTCCCTTTCCTCTCTCTCCCCCACCTCCCTGCCTGACCCCTGGCTGGGCCTGGGCCCTGGGAGGCTGAGGATCTGCTGACGCCCAAAACCCGTCTGCCTCGCTCTCCTGGGAGACAAGGAAAGGTCACCTGTAACCTCAGCTGTAAAAAGCCAGGTTCA